TTGTTATGAAACAAGAAGGAAGAGTCTACAACCATCAATCCTGCGGAATTAGCGACAGGATTTCTATGTAGTCTGGATGCTTGTTTTATAAATAGAGGGAAAAACGCAAAGCGCTCTTGAACATTGTAATCGAATATCGGAATTGGGGTATTGCCTAAATGAAATAGCAACTCTTTCTTCACACAAATCAGAAACGAAACTTTCATGAACCATGAGCCTCAAAGGTGGGAGTTGCAAAAATTGTCTTTTATTGAGAATATGCAATATTCATACTTTTGGAAATATACAGGGTGTTTCGAAATTCGACCGACAACGCTTCACAGGTGGTAGCTCTCGTGATTTAATAAATAATGAGGCAGGAACATAAGGCTCTGACGTGCTTAGTTATCGAGATACAGGGTGTTAAAGTTGAGAAATAAAAATAGTTTTTTCGCAATATCTCAAAAACGGCTGATTTTTTTTCATTAAAATTCGATGAGCAAATTAAAATTGAGAATCTCCATTTCCAGACGTCGAATTCATATTTGACAATTGATCCAGTGGCGCCATTAAGGGGGTATGATTGCATGATTTTTCAAAAAAACATGTGTTGCGATATGAATTTTGGAAATTTTATATGATTATATCAAAGACCATTCAATTTTGAATTAAAAATGCATACTTGATGGATCTCGATAGAACCCACCATTTTCGAGAAAAAACGAAAAATGTAAATAGTATTCCAATCACTTCATTCCCAATCGATCAATCAGATAAAGAAAATTCACCCAAAAAACCACAACAATATTGAAAAAACTATAAATAAGTATTTCGGAAACTAAGTAGACATCCTTAGTAGTCCTCAGTCCCACAGGTTATTTTCGGAGAATATCTCAGTCAGCGAACTATTTTTTACTTTTCAGGACTTCTGAGGATGGCAATTCAGTTGCCGAAATACGTATCAAGAGTTTTCAATACTGTTGTGGTTTTTTGGGTGAATTTTTCTCATTTGATTGATCGATTTGAAATGAAGTAATTGGAAGACTATTTACATTTTTCGTTTTTTCTCGGAAATGGTGGGTTCTATCGAGATCCATCAAGTATGCATTTTCAATTCAAAATTGAATGGTCTTTGATATAATCATATAAAATTTTCAAAATTCATATCGCAACACATGTTTTTTTGGAAAATCATGCAATCATACCCCCTCAATGGCGCCACTGGAAGAATTGTCAAATATGAATCCGACGTCTAGAAATTAAGATTCTGAAGTTTGATTCGCTCATCGAATTTGAATGCAAAAAAATCAGCTGTTTTTGAGATATTGGGGAAAAACTATTTTTATTTCTCAGTTTCAACACCCTGTATCTCGATAACTAAGCACGTTAGACCTTTATGCTCCTACCTCATTATTCATCAAATCACGAGAGATACCATCTGTGAAGTGTTGTCGGTCGAATTTCGAAACACCCTGTATATTGCTAGAACAATAAGTGAGTCTTCGTCAAATGAAGGGTTTATATCAGCAGTCATTTTACTCAACTACCAATGGAAAATGTATGAAAGAATGATATACCTATTTGTATTGTATTGTATTTGTATTTCATTAAATCCTTTTTACTATCGATACAAAAGAATGGACGAGTCAACACAGGTAATAAAAAATACTATAATGGACGAGTCAGAACAGGTAATATACTAGAATACTAGATCATAAATGGAATTCTACACAATTACTTGCATTATAATAAGTAAATAGCTGAAGTACAGCACTAATAGTTTCACATAATTGGACAGGAACCAATGATTAGTTACAATTGATTACACAAGACGAATGATAACAATTAAATTACAATGAAAACTCAAATAACACTGGACAAAAACTTATTAAATTCTTCCAAGTTGTAAAAGCAATTTTGTATCAATATTTTCTTCAACCTACCTTTGAAAACTTCACAATTAGGACTAGCTTTTACATTATCGGGAAGCCTATTAAAGTATGAAGCTCCAGCCCCAAAAGGAGATTTTTCATAAAAAGAGTGTTTTGATTTTATGATTGCCAAATCATTTTTATGTCTGATGTTATTGACTGTGGACATCGCAATTCCTGGTCAGTTTATTTCGTAACCGGTAAATAAGGCACAATAATTTAAGCAAATAAATGGAGGTGATTTACTACAATATGAAGCAAACAACGAGTAGAACTACTTTAGATTTGCTGCCAAGAAAGTAATTCACGAAATTCAAGCGAAATTGAATCCTCAACTGCCATATTGAAATCACTATTCAGTTTTTCCTCTAAGAAAAATGCAAAAGTCCATAATGCATTTTCATCAAAATTATGAACACCTGCCAAATTTCTAGTCAGTCGCACGACTAACTCAAAGTTGGTCGAAGTTCAATATACACCGGCAAAAAAACCTGTAACTTTTTTAATTCTTGTCTGATTTTGGTGAAATTTCGGACCAAATCGTATATTCATGTTTCAGAATGTTGGCCTAAATATTAGTTCCTAAGAGAAGTTGATGGCTTGATCACATGGAAAAACAAAAGTTACTCTTTCACCCTCAACTTCTTAACACCCTGTGGCAAGCTTAGGGGTTAAACTTAGCTTCATCATGTTTTCCATTGATGTACATACAATCCCTTCTTGACACAATGGTTTTTGATTCACGTTGATTACCAATTTTTAAGACAAGATATAAGGGTTTTAAGAAAGTATGGATTTTTTGATTTTCATTAACAAAAATTCAGAACCATTCAACAACCTTCTGCTCCATCATGTTTTGAATTGAAGTCTAATCTTTCGTCCCTTCTTAACACAATAGTTCTAGATTCACGTCAATTTCTTATTTTTAAGGAAAGATACAAGTGTTTTAAGAAAGTATGGAATTTTTTAATTTTTACTAACAATAATTCAGAACCAATAGAACATCTAAGGGATGAACTCCAGAGACTCATTCGTCTTCGTCCGGCCTTGACATAGACTCTTCGAGAGCTATGATTTGCCCTTCAAGGAAAATTTTAGGCGATTCTCTCTGCAATTCTTCATGACTACTTGAGAAATTTGATCAACACGATGCCTAGGCGGTTATATGCTGTAATTCAAACTCAAGGAGGGCATACCTACTCGTTATTGACTATTGGTCTTCTGGTTGTTTATTGTAATTAAGGTTTTCGTCTTTTACTATGTGCTAAAAAAATGAGGTAGAAATAATTTAATTAATTTCCTAATTGTTATTGTTAATGAGAATTGAAAATTGAAAAACCAATTTTGGTGTCCTGTTTTTTTGTCTGTTAGTGTATATTCATCATGCACAAAGAGAATGCGAATTCTACATTTCATAGTATATCTAAGAATATTTCTTTTCAATTCTTCAGGCCATTATACAGGCATTTCTATCTGAAGTGAGACACACTGTATATTTCTTTATCTTGAGGAACTACACACGCTGGCTCTTGAAAGTTCGATGACCGATTTAGAAAATCCCATGAATATAAATGAACAATTTCACACAGAAGACCAGCTATTCTGAGAAGGCATTCGTTTCAAGTGGTCCACAAGAGAGCTCTGCGTTCGATTCTTTAAGAGGACCGATGAAAGCTTCAGAATCTTTTCAATATGCCGCTCGTATACATGCATAATAATAATAATAATAATATCATTGGCATGAATAAATATCTTCGTTAAGTAGATCACTGTAAGTGTTGACTGTGAATTATATTAGGTTTCGCGTTTTTGAACCTTCTTAGAATTACACTCAGAATATGCCACCTATCAATCTCTACATTTTTTTAGTTTTTATCTTTGATCACTCAGAAAAAACTGGGTAAGCGATTTTTTTTCCACCAGAAGTTTCCAAAATAGATATCTAGGTACAGTGATGCTCAAATTAAAAGTAACGACTCTTGGTCGAATTGAAATATTTTTGTCTATGCACATGTACTATTCATTGCCTAGGAACGAACCGTTCCCCTCATTAGCATTTTATGACCTGGTTCGCGCTGTAAAGGTATTTAGAGGGTATACCCAGCGGTATACCTAGAGGTGTTATAATAATAATTATTCGAACGTGAAAAATAACAATGACAGAGTTCTTCTTTGGCAACTACAATGAAATAAATAGGAATTTATCTGGACTGCTTCACTTTGATTCAGGTTTGTTGAGAACGATATAATATAATTAATTATAACTAGAATCCAATCTTGGAATGAAGGGATTTAATTTCAAACTATACAGGGTGTAATTCAATTTATGGCTAAAAATATAGGACATGGTTCCTCAGCTCATTTTGAGAAGAAAAGTTGATATGAATATATGCCCTAAACCTCTCAACTTCCGAGCTATAGGGTGTTGGAATTTTTATGAAAATAAGCATTTTCTTATGATAACTTCGACATACTATTCTAGATATTCTCATGAAATTTGACATGCACCAACTGAAACAATGTGGTGTAGTTTGTAGGTAAGATGTGTTTTTGTCTAATTTTTATTGAAGTGAAGTCGTTGATTGAATTTGCCAAAATGGTTTCATCATTTTCAAATATGTAACTCAAATTATTGCAAAAGAAATGAGAATTGCATTTATTTTTTAGAAAAATCTCCAGTATTTACATCCCATACGGACACGAACTGGCCATCAGTGCTTAGTAGGTGCAAGTTAAAGTTTGAATCCGGGAAATCTTATTTTAAAAAGATTTATTTCGGAACAGAACTTAACAAAAATCAAAATTAGGTACCAAGTGAACAGTAAGAATTCTAAAGTCAGACTAACTATAAAATATGGAATATAATTCAAGTGAATACGCAAAGTCAGCATCTCGGCACCGTTCTCATGAGAACTCTAGGAATCCGTAACGGCGGTGGCTTCAGATATCGCTGAATAAAGGTGGAATCAAATTGTAACTACTTCATCCCCTGAAGAAGTTTTGTGAGGGACGAACAGAACTGAAGACTGCGGTGCTGGCTTCTGCGATGTCTTCTTCGGGCAGGTGAGGAATCGGCGCCACTTGTAACAAATGGCTGCTAGGATGGCTGCGACGACGATGTATACCGGGGCTGTCCAAAAGTGACTGTGGTCGGCGGCTTCTCTGATGACTAAGGGTTGAAGGTGCTCTTGCTCGCTTTGGATTTGGTGGAGTTCATCGAGGGCGACTTTCTCCAGGCGGATCGGGCTCAGATGTTTCATCGGTTCACTGTTGATGGTCTTGATTCTTGGCAGGGTTAGCGGTTCTTCGTGTACCACTTCTTTGGAATTTATGTAGCTGTCTTCGGGGGTGTGAAACTCACAGCCTGGTGGTAACTCGATGAGGAACGTCCCTTGAAGTACTGATATGCCTGATACTTGGCACTGGGTGGCGATTTTCGTCGATTGTGGAAATATACCGACGTAGTGGGCTTCAGTCAGTTGTTCGATCAGAGTAGCATTGATCGATATTGGAACTAGTTGGCATTGGGCGGCTTCGTCTGAGAGCTGAAGAATCTGGGAGATGCAATCTGGACTACGTGTTCGGTATTGAATGGCAATACTTGGGCAAAGGTACCCGGAATCGATTTTTCGGCATGGTCTATCTGTATACTGGTGGAGTTCTGTATTCATTGTCAGATAAGGTTTGGGTGGAATGATGGTGGTTAAGTTACTAGTAGGGATTGAGAATAAGTGGTAATGATTGAATATATCTGGTATTAGGAGTGGAAAGTGTAAAATGAAAACGATCATTGATTTTGAGAAATAGGCGTCGACTGATATGACATCATAGTATTTCAGCAGATCTTCTTCGTTTATATACAGGAGCTGTTTCTCTGAGTGGTGTCTTAACATTATATCGGTTATTGATTTCAATTCATTGGTTCTGATGATACTATTATGAAGGGTATTGATTCTTGCGAAGGTAACTGCATTTTCTAGATCGGTGAGTAGTTGGAGTATTAGTTGTAACGAGAGGCTTATCTGGTCCAGGATATTTCTTGTTAGCATGTAATCATTGAATTCGAATACGAATTTATTGAGTTTGGATCGAATCGTATCGATTTCTCTGACAATTACTTCTTGGTTGTGTGTTATTAAAGTAACTGTATTGTTGAAATTCTCTATAAGTCGAGTTGTTAGTGACATGTGTTGATTCAAACGTTGGATGACGTTCTTCTGATTGCTTTGGAGGGTGGTTATGGCGTTATCATATTTTTCGGCATCTTCATTGTCCAAATTACCAGATATAGCTTTGATAATGCTGCCAAAGGCATTGATTAGGCCTCTCTTACTCCGGTGAGACGGGTAGATTGTCTGAAATTTTCGATGTACTGCGTCTAATTGGTATCGTAATCCTTGGTCGAAATTTTGAAGACTGTCGAAATATGGGTGGCTTAGTCCATCAGCGATAGCGACTGTGACCTTCTCGTACTGGTCTGTTAGGGCGTCTATTTCTATGGCGATTGGTGTGAGGTTGTAGTAGTGTATGAAATCATGTGAACTGATTTGTATTTTGGCTTGGCCCAGCTTGAGGGGAAGGATCCCTGGGTTGTCTTTGAGATCCTGGATCCTGATTTCCTGTCCCAGCACGGGATTCCATCTGCAACGAGGATTCACGGTCAATTCTTCGTTCGGACTTGTGTTTTATATTTTTCTTATGTATAGTTGTATTGGGTAACTTAACAGTGACTGGGTTATTTGATGTCACGATCTTTCGAGTGAATCTGGGTAATAATTTGTTCCGTTTCTCTGTGGTTTTAGTATAGATATTAGTGTTCGTTTTGTAGGTTATTGGCACTTGTCTTTTCTCATTGCGTTTTTCAATAGTTCTTTCTTTGATCTCTATTGCTTTCTGATTGAGTTCCTTGTAGATTGCCTTGGCCTTTTCTCTGTGTTGTTGAGCATAATTATTGAGCAGTGTTTTTTCAATATCAATATCGAATGGGTCCAATGGGTCCAAATGTCCATTCAAAATATCAATTGGCTTCTGTTTGGTAACGGAGTGTATAGAGTTGTTATACCCTAGTATAGCATATGGCATATGTTCTTTTACATTGAAGTTTGAATTTTGGCCTTTTATGACTCGGAGATGTTCTATTAAGGTTGAGTGAAATCTTTCTATCATACCATTGGATTGAGGATTCTCTGGTGTGGTATAATGAATTGAAATTTTATGAGTATCTATGAAATCTCTCATTAGTCCATTTTTAAACTCTGTTCCATTGTCCGAAATTATTAATTTTGGTAGTCCGTGGTGTGTTATAAAAATAAGAAGTGCGTTTATTATATTTATCGCATTTGAACCATCTATAGGGTAAGCTTGAGCATATTTGGAGAATGCGTCAATTAAAGTGAGAAATTTTTGCCCGTTTGCCTGAAATGTGTCTATATGAACAACTTCCATTGGTTTTGTAGGTGTTGGTGTGATCATGAATTTAGGTTTAGCTGGTTTTCTGTCATATTTATTTGCTTGACAGATTTCACAAAAATCGATGTATTCTTGAATGTCATTTTTTATTGATGGCCAATAATATCTTCGTCTTAGCTGGATTTCTGTCTCATTAATACCCCTATGGTTGGTTTTTCCCTCATGATAGTTTTTTATGATTTCTCGCTGATTCTCCGCGTTCGCAACATCTTCTAATATCTCACTACATTTGACTAAGTCATATGCAGTGTTTTTGAATGTCCTTTGGAGTATATCACATGTGGCTTGGTAGTTTTCATCTTGGTTGAAATATAAGGCATATTTAATTTTTGGTGGAATATAGTCTTTGAAAAATTTTATGATGTTGTTTTCCATATCGTGCAGTCCTATTTGGGCGTGGATTCTCTTTTTATTTGGAAATATTTGTTCTGTTATTGGTCCGATAGGGTTGAAATTGACGAAATTTAGCTTAACCTGGTTATTGTAGTAATTCAGTGGTTTTTCAGATATTGGAATATTTAGAGCTGGATTTTCGTGATTCGAATGAACAGTTATATCGCTTCTTGACTCGTCTGGAATTTCGTCGGCCGTCTCAGTTTCAGATGTTTCGTTATTACCTTGTCGTAAGTCGGGTCGCTCGTCAGCTGTTTCTGTTGACGAAGTATCGTTGCTTTTCCTGCGATCAGGTAGGTCAGTTTCCTCGTGAGATGTCGCATGATGGTTTTCAACAGCTGATTGTTGTGGAAGGTCGGGGTGATCATCTAGTTGTTCGTTATCAATGTCGGTCTGTCTGTCTGATGCATTATTGTACATGGATGCATTGTCCGCATTGTTCGAGGCTGACAGTGTTTCGTTGATTTTATTCACGTATTCCTCTAATTCTCGCAATTCTTTGGTTTGGATTTCGATTCGCGATAGTGCATCAGCATTTGTGTTAGCTTTTCCTTTCTTGTAGATTACCTCGTAGTCAAACTCTTCCAATTTGAGCCTCCATCTTACTAATTTTGAATTGGCATCTTTTAGCGAGAATAGCCATTGAAGTGGGCGGTGATCTGATAAAATTTTAAATTTTCTGCCAAATAGGTATGGTCTGAAGTATTTCGTTGCCCATACGATTGCTAACATCTCCTTTTCTATCGTAGAGTAATTTTGTTCAGTATTGCTTAGCGTTCTTGAAGCATAGGCTACTGGTTTGTCTTTGCCTACCGGTCCTTGAGACAATATAGCTCCAATAGCGTAATTACTCGCGTCTGTCGTAAGGTTAAATGGCTTAGATAGGTCAGGGTACTGTAGCAATGGTTCATTTGTCAAGAGGTTTTTACAAGTTTCGAAGCACTGAATGAATTGCGGCGTATGTTCTATTTTTGCATCCTTTTTCAGACATGCTGTCAGTGGCTTTGTAATTTTTGCAAGGTCTTTAATGAATTTTCGGTAGTAACCGAGAAGTCCCAAAAATCCTTTAATTTCCTTTGGTGTCTTAGGTATGGGGTATCTTAGGATTGCTCTTATTTTATCAGGGTTTGGTTTTATTCCTTCGGGTGTGATGACATGTCCGAGAAACGCAACTTCCTTCTGTAGGAATTCAGACTTGTCAAGTTGAATTTTTAAGTTTGTTTCTCGCAGCCTTTGGAATACTTTGGTGAGGTTAACCATATGTTCTTGTAGGGATGTTGAGTAGATAATTATGTCGTCCATGTAGACGAGACATATATGACCTTGAAGTCCTTTTAAAACGTTGTCCATTACCCTGCTAAATGTTGCGGGGGCGTTCTTGAGCCCGAAAGGCATTCGCACATACTCATAATGGCCATGTTCTACGTTAAATGCAGTTTTCTGAATGTCTTCCTTCGCCATCTCGATTTGATGGAATCCACTGGCAAGGTCGAGTGTCGTAAAGTACTGACACCGTCCAAGCTTATCGAGAATGTCAGAGATATTCGGTAGTGGATACCTATCGTCAATGGTTTTCTCATTAACTTTTCTATAGTCCACTACTATTCTCCATTTGATTTTTCCAGAGGCGTCCGGTTTTTTAGGGACAACCCATATTGGCGAAGACCAGGGCGAATTACTGGGTCGTATGATTTGTTGTTCTAGCATGGAAGAAATTTGGTTTTGGACTTCTTCTTTATGAACATGTGGGTACCTATATGACTTTGTATACACGGGTATCTCGTCTTTGGTCTTAATATGGTGTTTTACCTGATTGGTAAATGTCAGTGGCGTATCAGGCCTGTGAAAGATGTCCAAGTATTTTTTACATAAGGTAGTAATTTGTTTCTTTTCGTCTGAATTTAAATGGTCGATCCTAATCAAGCTTTCAATGTCTATTTCTTGTGGTGCTAATGGGCTAATGTCTGCTGTGTATAAGTGGTAGTCATCCAGATGTATCTCAGAGGTATTGATTGGTTCTGATAGGGTAAGTTGTAATTTTTCATCGCTGCTGTTGATAAGTTCAGCCCAGGCCATTTGATTGCATGCTTGGCTTAGTGTCTCTCGCAATAAGGCTCCTTGAATTACCTGTTGTGGTAATATAATGGGTCCTTCGTTTTCTTTAACAGGGAGTCTAACTCGAGTAACGGAACGGGGGTCTAGTTGTATAGAGAAAAATTGCTTTTGATCTGTTTCGTAGTACTGAATAGGAATGTTAGAATGTTGCGTGATTAATTTT